TATTTTCACAATAAAAGTCTAAATCTGTCATAACAGTGCTATTTTCTTTCCAAGTTAGAACAGGTTTGGTAAGTTGAACATTTTTTTTTTATTATTGCATTTTCCCACTTGACATGATGTCATCAATCAGAAGTTAGTAGTTTTTCTGTCTTGAACTTTATGATAAATAAACTTAATGTGAATTTTTAAAAAGTTTTTGATTCAGCTATTTCGTAATGAATAGGTGACGTTATTGGCAAATATGTTCATGCCGTATTTGCAAATATCAAAAAAAAATTAACACAAGTTTTGGAGCTGCATACTGAAAGATTGAACAGTCTAAAACGTTATTCTTCTTCTTCTTCTTCTTCTTCTTCTTCTTCTTCTTCTTCTTCTTCTTCTTATTATTATTATTATTATTATTGTTGTTGTTGTTGTTGTTGTTGTTGTTATTTATTCATTTTTAAGAAGCAATCCTGTACTGAAAACTCTAGTAGAAAAATCCCATGCACAAGTGTATCAGTGGGATAGCTCATTTTGTGTATTAAGAACTATAAAACTGCTTGTAGATGTTTCATATTGCTGAACATACACGAAAAAGTAAAGCTTGAAGAAAAAAAGAGGACAAATTAACAACAAAAAGTGGTGGGAACAAAATAAAAGCGAATTTCTTAGAGACAGGAGCAAGCAACCGAGTCAAAAATGATATACATTCTTTATAATTTCAAATTAAGGAACATGAAAGTGCTCAGATTTCTCTATCTTGTGTGTGAGTGACTAAACTTTGTGATGTGGTTCTGTGTGGAGTGGGAGCAGGTTCGGCTCGGTGGGTGCGGTGCTGAAGGGACAGCGCCCCTCATTGTCAGACTGGGTGTGACTCTGAGGAACTGTCCGTGGTGCTGATCGACTCTTGACCTCCAACTTTGTGCCTGAACCTCCCACCACACTGTTAAACTCCGTCTGACACGCTTTACTTGGCAACATCACTCATCTCCCAGGCTGCAGGACGCTGACTGGATCTTTAGGGGACAAGTCTCCAGATTTTTTTTTTTTGGACCGAGCAGTCAGATCTGATGCGCTCAGGCTACAGGTAACCCTTCATCTGGAGACATCCTCCTCTTCTTCTTACAGCTTATTGGATGTTTATTTATTTTGACAAAGCCACACTGTAGGTGCTGACTTCTAACTAAGGAAACTGCGCAAATTTAGACTCATGAGTAAGCAAATTGATCAGTAGCGAGGAAGGAAAACAGCGGATTATTTTTTTCTCTCCCTCATATCAAAATATCAAACATCACGGTGCGTTTCTGTCTCTTCAGTGGGAGTGTTTCCACGCAGCATTAGCCCCCTGTGTGTTTTTTTTTCTTTTCTTTTTTTTTGCGCTTTTGTCACAGTGCGACCACCTGCGCTTGAAAACCAACCGGCAAAAGGCGGTGGCTGTCCAGGCGCACGGAGCTGAAAAGAAAAACCTAGAAGAAGAAGAAGAAGCGCATCTGTGCATCTCCACCCTGCTAGAAAGGCATGTCGACCGCCGGGGAAGTGCCAGCCTTCTTCAAGAGCATGGGCTCCGACAGCCCGGCCAGGCCCAGGCAGAAATTCTGTGGCATGTTCTGCCCGGTGGAGGGATCCTCGGACAGCAAGACGCTGGACTTTGACGCGCTCTCGGCGTGCAGAGGCAAGAGCGACGGCAGAGTCATCGACCGGCAGACCGACATCTCCCAGCCGAGGAAGGTGGAGATCAGGGAGAGCACCGGGAAGGAAGCTCTGCAGAACCTGGACGACAAACGGGTACGTTTTTTTTGTATTTTTATTCTTGCATGTTTATTTCCACACCTCCATCTTTAATTCTTGTCTCTCATTCCTCTCATGCGACATTTGTATCTGTGCACACATCTGCGCCATTTTTCACCCCTCAAAAAAGTGCATCAATTACAGCCTCTCTGCCTACTCAGTTGAGTTTGTTTCAGCTGACACAGACAGACAACTTGCCCGGACTACATTTCCCACAATGCACCGTGAGATTGGATGGAAGGCCCCGGCATGCGGGGCTGCCAGAGGGAGTGGCTCCGTTAGATCATAGAGTTGGTGATTTTTTCCTCTTTCTGCTGCTCTCAGCTGACTGGTGGTGAAGCTGAACACCTGCTAAGTCACTGCTAACAGGCCGGACTGAGGAGCAATAAGCACAACACGCGTGGTTATAGACAAAACACACACATGAGGACACACAACATGAGCTGCTGGCATGTTGTGGTGCAGAGTTGCTGCATTGTTGTCCTCCAGGTTCTCTTGGATCACAGATTGGCGACTGCGGCCTGCATGACTTGCATTAAAACCTGTTAACTTTTCCTACAAGTATTTTTTTTCCGGTTTGGGTGCTGGTGGTGACGAAGTGTAACGGTATCACTGCTTCCTTTACTTAATACTCAGTCAGCACTCAGGATGCAGTTAAAAGCTTGGGCCTGTCGGTGTGTGGAGCCTCGGTATCGTGTTACGTGTTGAGTGGAAGCATTAGTCACTCAGGCTGCTTGCTCTCATCCACTACATGTGTTTGTAACTTACTCCTCCCTGATACAAGATTATACACGTGGACTTTATTGATATGAGCCTATATATCTATAATACAGATACAGTTATGATGGAATATTAAAAACCTCAAGAAAATATCAAATGTCAGTGATGTAATGCTCCTTTTACTTCTGCTCCATGACATTACACACCATTTATTTAACACCATGTACTGATCTGATGCAAGTTGTTCATATAAAATGTATGAAAATGCTGTAAAATATAGGTTACAATAAGATAAAACTCTATTGTATTCACAAGCTAACTGAAATGAGCCCCACTTTAACACATGGATGCACAAATAATTAAAATACTGCACTATTTTTCTACTTTTAACTACTGCATACTTGACCATTACATGTATTTCTATACAGTTTTAACATAATTCAGTAAAAGACCTTTGATTTTTTCACATAAATTTAGAAGGTGAACTCTGGTTTGACGATCTGTGGCCTTTTATGGTGTCAAAAACACAAATTCAGACTTTCAGGGTTTCCTATGCAACAAACCGGAACATTTAATCCCATCAACTTGCAGGGTGGAGCTTTCTGTATCATTGTTTTTCAGAATCTGATTCCTGTTTGATTGTGCATGACTGAATTACACCAATGATACGACTTGGGGCGAGTAGTTTTACAGCGTTAGAGCAGAGTTACGGGTGAGCTGGTGTGCTCAAGCTGCAGCAAATGGAGGTGGAGTAGTTGTAGAGAGAAGAACGGACTTCATGGATCTGCCCAGTCTTGAGGAAGAAAAGGTGCAGAGTGAAATTTAAGCTGTGCTCAGGGAGAAAGTGACTGTTTTTATGCGAACAACTTGAGTTTTTGGGGATTATCAGCAACCAGAGAGGAACTTTAATGAAAGACTTTTAAAATAATAAAAGTTGAATCTTTTAGAAGAAGAAACAACACATTCTGCTTCTTAAAAATGAAGTACTGAAGACATAAGAAGTTAAATGTGTCCTCTTTGAGTACAAAATGCTCTTGGTTTTGCTCACTTTGTGACTCATCTCTGATTGCGTTGCTCATATAAAGTTTGAGAATGTCACAGATTAACACTTCAGTCATTTTTATTACATCAGTAAAAGAAAAACTAAGAAAAAGTGATGCTTTGAATGAAAACAATCATTGCAACTGTCCAAAATTTGCAGAGATCAGGACAATTAAGCATTAGGACGCTGCTTTATTTTAACTTAGAAGAGCCTCAAGGAACTTGTTGGGGTTCCATTTTAAGCTTATTATTATTATTATTATTATTATTATTATTATTATTATTATTATTATTATTATTATGTAACCACAAAAAAGAAATATTCCAGCAATATTGTAGATGCTCCTAAATAAAATTGAGACTTTTAAATTATTTTTTAAATTAATTTTTTAATTTTATTATTTACATTTTTTCTAATGAAGATATTAGCATTGAGAGTCACACAAGATCCCAATGTGTCCAAATACACAAAACCAGCCTCTAAAATTGGCATTAATATAATAAATGTTATTCATAGGGGCTCCATAATTTAATGCTCAAATCTGTAAACTAAAAGAATTACTTAGTGTTTTTTAAATGAGTTTTCTATTGTGTTAATAAAAGAAAATTTCTGTCACAGCAGCAACAACAGGCCAAAAATAACAAATATGTTCTGTAATATTGAAATTTTACAAATAATTCTACTTTTGACAACAATACAGCATCACAATCGTGTCAATCTTATTTCTTCATCATAAAATTAACCAAAATTACTCTATTATATGTTTTATATTGTATTATGTTGAAATACTGCAATGTAGATGATTAGAATAATGAAAGTGAGTTTAAAAATGACTTAAACATGCAGCTGTAAAGTGTCACACAACTCCACAAAGAGTTAGTGGAGGTTCCTTCAGCAGCAGGAATGAAGCTGGTAAAGGTTATTTCAGTCAGCAGAGTTCCTCAAAGTCCTCCTGATTCTAATGAATCCTTCTCAATCTGGTTTAATTTGGTCTCTAATGAGAAATATCAGACCAACACAAACTTAATATCATACATTCTGGCCTCTGTCATCAGTGTGAGTCAGTTTTATTTGTTGTTATGTTTGTTAAAGCCTCATTTATCTTCAGTCACAGAGTTTCTTGTCACATCTTTGGACAGTTTAAATGACCAGCAGCAGCCTGGTGTCAGATGTTCACAGCAGCAAACATGCAAAAAAGATCAAATCCACACTTTGTGCAGTTAAAGTGCGCTGAGTTAAGATGGCTGCTGGCGGTTTCTTGGTTTGTTCGGCGGATGTTTCTCTGCCTGCACTAATCCACCGAGAGCAATTGATGGCATTAGTGGCTCTCTCCTGTCAATGGAGCAGGGCGAGGCTCTGCGCATGCTCCGTGGGGTTCTTTTATGGGGAAGAGGCTCTGGAGCGGTCCCTCCCTCCCTCTCTGCCTCCCTCCCTCCTCCCCTCTTGTCTGACTCCGTCTGGGAAGGAAAGCTTTGGTGCATCGGCGGAGACCGGGAGGCTGCCAGGACGCGATCCGGAGTTGAGAGACACTTTCTTTTTCCCATTTGTGGCCTCCCCCCCAAGGATCAGCTGCGAACCACCTCTGTGCTGCTTCTTCCTCTTCATCCACCGTCATCCTCAGCTACAACATCCCGTCGCTTTAGCGGTTCCGAGGGCGCAGCGTAAAAACCCGAAGCACCGGCGAAGATGTCTGGCTACCAGGGCAAGAAGAACATCCCCCGCATCACAGTGAGTGCTCGGACGGTTGTAACGGTGAGGTAGCTGGAGGGAGGAGGAGGAGAGGAGGGGAGCGGAACCGGTGCGGGCTCCGGTGGGCCTGCGGGGTGCAGCAGGATGTCACCGGGGCGGCATGGCTCCGTGCGTCGACGAATCCTGAGCTGGAGGCGCAAAGGCTCGGCCGGTTTCTTCTCTCGATTGCAGGGCTTTTGCGGGTTTTTAGTGTCAGATCTGAAGCTGAAATCGCCCCTCGGGGATCAATAAATCAATGAGGCCACTGCTCATACTGGTGCGGCTTCCATTTTATTTATTATTTATTTATATCTTTTTTTTCCAGATTTTTTTTTGCAGCATCTTTGCGACAAGTGCTCGTTTCCAGGGCTCTGATTTTTATTTTTATTTTGTCAGAAGCTGCATTTCTGTTGCAAAATTCTCCACACAGTCTCTTTGTTCCTGGTGTGCAATGACGGTGGAGATTTCACGCCGGTGGTCTTTGTTAGACGCTGTCTGGTGGCCGGGTATCACTGCACACCAACTGGTGGAGCAAATGCTTCCCTGCATCCGCTCTTTCTCCCCCCACCCCTCTCTGCTCTCTCTCTCTCTCTCTCTCTTGCCCCTTACTCCAAAGCTCCCCTTCTTGTTTTTATTTTTTAAAGAGGCATTTAAGACAAACTGCTGCAGATTATGTCCCTGAATCCATAGCGGAGCTGCAGGGATGGTGGTGGTGGTGCTTGAATGGAAAGTAGAGAATAGGGAGGGGAAGGGAGGGCAGCGCAGGGAAGGGAAGGGAGGGGAGAGTGGCTCCTATTTCCTCCCATGCTTCCCTCTCAGCTGTGTAATGAAGGGAAGATGCATAGGAGGAAGGAGGTCAGTGTCTGATCGGCCTGATGTTGCTGCATGGAAGTGAAGTAATTGGTGCAGAGTATCAAAAGCCTTGCAGAAGGAGCTGTGTCCGCTTCAAACATAAAGATGTAGTTTTAAATGAATCTTTGCTCGTGAGCCCAAGAGGTCAGGTGACTTGAAGTCATAAAGAGGTCATAAAAAGCCTGATTTGGGTCAGGCTGTAGCTCCTAGGTAGCATCCATTCTTTTAATCAGCATGGTTTTCTGCAACATGCATGGTTTCCTGTGCTGGAGTTACAATTCTGCACTAAAAAGTCTCATCATACGAAAAGATGAAATTTGAATAATGAGTACATGCAGCCCTAAAATGCTCCAAAACACACTGAGAGTCTCTTTAGATTAAGCTACATGTGGGGACATGCTGGAGGTCAGTGCATGTTTTATCTCCAATATTATTTTTTGTGTATCAGTGTTTTTGCCAGCAAGAATCAGAAACATACTGGACTGATATCGAAACCTCTCAGGTGAATCGTTTTCCTCCAGAGTTCTTGCAGCAGCTCTTTGATGGAGACATCAGAGCTTCAGTTAGTCCCAGCAGTGCTTAAATCAGGCCCTAAACGAAGGAAAAAACTGGGTCAGACTGATTCCTCTAAAACTTTACACACCATAGACTTGCATACGTTCACGCCAGGGAGGACGAGGAAGAGTCTCCTCCGGTCACCTCGGGCGTCTTTCTGGGCTTCTCCGCTTAACAACCTGCAGCAGGACGACCGGAGGAGCTTATTAAAACCAAACAGACGCCCAAGAGGAAATGAATGAGGTTAAATTGAATAAAAACCAATCAGGGGAAAAAAAAGGGCTCGAGCCGGGACAAAGGGGCTCTGTGTTTCCTGTGGCTTTCCGCACACAGCAGTTAAATTAGTTTAGATTACATATTACATATTTGAGCGTTTAGCCCGTCTTACTCACGGCCCAGTCATCGTGGGTGGAGCGCCGGTGTCCAGGACAGCTCAGCTCCGAGGCCAGATGGAGTCGGGTCAGCCGCACAGAGAGGGACGTACTTAAGGCATCAAATATGAATGAGCTGCTGCAAGTTCACCACCTGGAACTGGAGCCTTTCTCCTCCAGATTTACAGGGTGAAAGCTTCCTGAGTTCAGAGGCGTGTCCGAGGAGGAAGCACCGAGTCGAGCAGGGCTGCAGAGCTGTTGTTGGCTTAATTAGCTGCTAATGAATGACTTGTTTGGTGTTTAAAATGGACAGAAGCTGAGAAAACTCCATTTGAATTCCCAGATTGCTTGATTTTATCCCAAAAAAGACACTTTAACTGGTGTTAGTGCTGAAACATTTGGCTAAATAATCAATTAGTAAATTTTGATCACCATCAAGCGGGAGTTAAATTTGTGTTTTTGTTCTGTTTTATCTCCTCGTAAACTGAATATATTTGGGTTTGGAGCTGCTAGTTGGACCCTGTCATGGAGATTTTTGAGTCAAATGATCAGCTATTCAGTCATTCTTGAGTAGAAAAAAGCCCAGAACTGTGTTTTTGCCCTTCTTACATTGTTGTAGTGGTTTTATTCAGTTGCTTTTCATTTGATCAACTAATTGGTTAATTGGTGTTTTCAGCTCCAGAGTTATTTTTGTCCCAAACAAGATCAGCTTAAAGTGAAGGATACTAATACAGATAAAAGCAAAAAACAAGAGAAGAAATGTTTTTAGGAGAGTAAAGACAGCTCTGGAGTGCAAATTATGCAGATTTGTGGTTTACTTCCTGTTTTATCTCATTGCAATCTGAGTGTATTTGGGTTTTAAAGTGGTACATTCCTCAGTCTTTTTTAACAAATGATTTATTAATTATCCCCAAAATAATCAGAAATTCTTAAGCAGAGAAAACACTTGAGAGGCTGGAACTGGAAGATTTTTTTTACCCTTTTTGCTTGATACAGACTTAATTTCTAGATTGATTTTATTCAGTTGCTTTTCCTTTGATGGACTAATTGGTTAATTGGTGCGTTTAGCTGTACAGTCGAGTCATTTTTTGTCCCAAACAAGATCAGTTTGAAGTGCTGGATACAAATACAGATAAAAGCAAAAAACAAGAAAAGAAATGTTGTTTTTTAGGAAGGTAAAGGCATCTCGAGTGTGCAAATTATGCAGATTTGTGGTTTCTTCTTTGTTTTATCGTATTATAAACTCAGGACAGTTGGGCTTTTGGCTGCTAGTCTTTTCAAAGCAAAGACAAATGATCAATTAATGAGTCATTGTTGAGCTAAAATGATCAGAAAGTTCTTGCTTTTGAGAGGCTGGAACTGAACAAACCCAACTGATGATTAGATTCTGCTTTATTCAGTTGGTTAATTGGTGTTTCAGCTCTTATTTTGTCCCAAATAAGATCAGTTTAAGATGACAGAAATCCAGATAAAAGCAAAAATAAGAACAAAAATGTTGTTTTTAGGAAAAGTAAAGTCACTTCTAGTGTGCAGCTTGCAGGAAAGTAAAAATAGCCTGGATGCTATTATAGGACTGTCCTGGATTAAAGTCTCCGTGACTCCAATCCTCAGCGGATGAAGGATCATTAGTTAGTCTGCAGCTACACCTGTAACACGCCGCTTGTTGTTCCCCAGTGGCAGCTCGGTGTGTGTTTGTAGATGCTGTGGCCTCCTCATGCTGTTATCTCTCGGTGCAAAGCAGCCCCGAGCGATGTCTCTTCAAACATCACACACTCTCAGCGTGCCGCCGTCCAAATCAGCCTCCCACCGGCTCCGCATCAGCCCCAATCCTCATCCACAAAGCCAGGAGTCACAGCGAACTCTGTCATTAATCAGCATCTGAACAGAATAAAATACAGTAAAACAGCAGATCTGGGCCCCTCCGGCTGCACGGTGTCCTCAGCCGGCTGCAGCAAGAGGTCAAAGAGGGGTTTTAGAAGCACAAGGAGAGAATTTTAATGAAACTTTTTGCATTTGAAGTGAGAATTTAAGGCATGTTTTGTTGCCAGCGGTGGAATTTGAGTCAAGTTTTGAAGCCAAAGAAAGTTTTTATTCGCAAAGTTTTTAGTCAAAGAGAGACAAAAAGGTCATTTTTCATTGTCGGAGAAACTTTTATGTTCGTGCTCAGGGGATTTAGCTAAATTTTAATAGCAAAAGAAGTGATTTTCTATCAACAAAAACCACATTCAGGTACATTTTTAGTCAAAGAGAGGCACATTTAGTATTTTTTCATTGCTGAGGAGTGTTTTTCATACTTACAGAGAGATTATAAGTGAATTTTAATGGTAATAAAAGTGTTTTTTTTCATAGTCAAGAGAGAATTCTGGTGAACTTTTTAGTCAGAATGAATATTTTGAACCTACAACAGGCAAGGACAGAATTAAATGAGTTCACAGTCATGGTCAAAAAGAATTTAAGTAAAGTTCTGAAGTCAAAGTAAGATTTTTTGTGAAAGTTTTTGTCAAAGAGAGAAAAAATCTTATTTTTTTGGAGACAGTTTTTTTTATAGCGACTGAGAGAATTTAGGTGAATTTTAATAGTAAAGGATTTATTTTATTTTATTTTTTTATCAATAAAGAGCGGATTTATGTGAATTTTCCGCCAGTGAGAAGGTTTTGAGTTAAATTAATTCATAGTCATGTTCAAAAAGAAAAGTTTTTAAGTCATACAAGCATTTTTTTGTGTGAATTTTTTGTCAAAGAGAGAAAAAAAATTCTTATTCATGCTCACTTTGATAATTTAAGAGAATTTTAACAGCAGAAGATGAGTGAATTGAGGTGAATTTTTCAGCCAGAGAGAATATTTTAAACTTTAAACAGGCTGAGACAGAATTAAATGAATTCATAGTCCTGGTCAAAGGAAACATAAGTAAAGTTTTAACCCTCAAACACAAACTTTAAGTGAAATTTCCAGCCTTAAAGCTGCAGTAGGCAGGATTGTTTTGGCATCATTGGGCAAAAATTCCTGCTAATTTTGAATTCAAGCAGTCTGACTTCTGCAACTCCTCTTAGCTCCGTTGTCAGGCTTAAGAACGTCTAGCAGGAGGTTTCAGCCAATCACAGGGCTTGTCATTGATCAGATGAGACGGTATAAATAGCGACAAAGCAGGATGTGGTGAAGGACTTTCACTTGGACGAGCAGAGTTCAAAGTCCTGGAACTGGAGGATCTGAATGTTGACTTTT